TTTGAACCGCTGACCTGCTGATCTAGCAGTAGCCTGCAGTGCTGCATTTAACCACTGCGCCACCTTGGCTCTTTAAAACTAGATTGAAATGGGAAAGGTAAAATCTTTACTTACTTATTCTATAGTCTTCTTAAAAATGAAGAACAATGGCACCCACATTAAATAGCTGGTCCTTCTTATGTGTTCTTTTCAACGAAGAAGAAAAGGCCTGGAGACTTTTGTCTCCTATGTCTGGCAATGATTAAATAACGATCCCTTATTTGTATGACCTGGACCTTTGGTCAGTATTACTACACAATGAAAGACCTGAACTGGAGGGTAAAGAGTTAGATAGATCTTCAAAGAGAATTTATTTGATGCCAAATTTCAGACATCAAAAGAAATGGAAGATCAAGGATTTCAACTCAAGCCAAGAAGACAAAGACAGTTTGGAAATCTTCTCAAAGACCTGCCTGAAATCTCATTTATGAGTTTTAAGAAACAGAGGAAAAAATGATTTCATTTTTAGGTATTAGTTATTACTCTATTCTCTAGAGTAATAGAGAATTACTAGATTATTACTCTAATCATGCTATTTTCAGTCCTGTACAATGACATAACATTAAGTGAAAATATATTAGTCTAATTCCAATTGCGCCATTGGTCAATATTGCCTGTACTGTAATGTTTCTATAATACAAAATTTTAACCCATATTTGATTACATGGTACTCTTTCCAACTTGACATCCTGTGGATATGTTGATTCTATGTCACAATATTCTTGACCAACTTTAAAAAGCCATATAGCTAGGAATTTAGCAATTATAATCCAAATTCACCTCCATAATCCCAGGATCATGGGAATGATGTGGTCAGTCCTTTTGAATACATAAAGGTAGATACAGAAAGGGGATGTAATTTCTCTTAGTTTCTATAAACTTGAAATATACCATTTCAGTTTCCAAGGTCCCAATTCTTGAGTGCAAATGCTTAAAATACAAATAAAGAGAATCATAATGTAACCGTTCCCATATTTTCTTTTCTTTTTTTAAAAAAAAATGTGTTTAAGTTGTATTTTAAAAAATTGAGGAGGGGGGTATCTTTACAGTCAAAAAGGATGGGAAATAAAGTTTCAAACTTATCTTTTGGTAGATTCTGAATTTGACAAATTCAAATTTTAGACATGTTTTAGATTAGATTATATCTGCAGGTATAGTTTACTAATTAATATCTCTATTCTTCAAATTTATTGTGACAATGGAAACTCCACACAAAATAGTATATTCAATTTGTTTTTATAGAGAAACAATTTTTGATTTAAAAACCCCAATTCTTTACATTCCCCACAAGATTACAAAGAATTTTAAATAATAATTCAACAAAGGTAACTGTTGTGGCCCAGCAGGAGCCGTTGGAGCTGCCACCAGACCCCAACAGCTAGGGGCCCTATGAGTCAGCTCTGGAGGATGTGGAGGACCCTGGACAGGGTTCTTACTCCGAGCAGGGTGCAGAGAGGCTGGTTGGCCACCAGGAAGCGCCTGAGCCTTGGACCAGTGGGGAGGAGACAAGGGAGTGTGCTCCTGACGTCATGCATTGGAGCAGTGGGGAGGAGCCAAGGGAGTTGTTCCTGGATGCCCGGCAACGTTGGGCAGATCGACGTAGAGAGCAGCTACGCAGTTACCAAAGATAATTGGACCCAGGTGATTGCAATTAGGCTCCTCTCAAGATAGTATTTAAAGAGAGACTGGGAGGAGCCTGGTTTTGCAGGATTCAACGTCATTCCTAACGCTGGAGAAGCTGTTATCTGTCGACGACTGAGTTGCTGCCAAGGTTCTTAT